ATGATCGAACGATGTATTTACGCTCGTCACAATCAAACTATTGAGAATTTGATAAAAATACAAAACTTGGATTGGGGTGGACACAGCTTGCAAAGATGGGGATGAATCAAATAGAGGCGTAGAATTCTATCTTCCTTCTTTGCAATGCAAAGGAGTAGGAACTTGTTCTCAAATGGGTCCTTTATGGTAGAATTCCAACATTGACTTGGATTTTTTATTTATAACCACGTCGTTGAGACTAAGGAAGGGGGTAGTAGCTGAGCGAGACTAAGGAAGGGGGTAGGACAGTAAAAGCTGAGCGAGAAGTTAATTTGAAACACGGGCCGCGGGGTTGAGTCGATGGTCTGCGTTTTATCAAAATGTTATCAAAACGCTGCTGAGCCGCAGTTATTAAACGTGAGAAAAAAAACGATGTTTTCGAGCCGCACCGCGAGAAAAACATGGCGCCAAGCGGGCCCTAAATATCTAGAAATGATATAATTAATAATTAATGACCTCCACCTACTTATGTTAAGGGAAAATTATTATATAATAATTATTCTAATGTTAAAGAACTCAACAAATAAAACTTCTTCCATAAATTAGGCACATTATGGTAACGAGCTAGCCCGAATCAAATTAAGTGGGCTTATGGGTTTAATTTGGATCAATTAATCCTAAAGGATATTTTTTGGCAACCGAACAGTTCCACCAGTGTGCACAATATAAGGCTTGCCACAATCCCCATTAGTTTTGGAGAAAATATTAGACGACAACCTAAATCACAACAATTCGTTCGTCTGCAGCACGTCCAAACAACATCTTAGATGGTATCACGTCGTGTGTCCGGCAGCGTGTTGCAATCCACACCATCAACCTAACATCCAGTTTACCAAACATAATATTTTCTCATGGTTTTAGGTAAAGTTGTACAAAGATGCGCATGTAACTCATGGCAACCGATGACCAACCGAAACTGACAAGTGATTAGAATAATTTAAAAACCTATTTTAAAGGTGAATGTGTGTTTTTTTTTTCATTCTAACTATTTTTTTTATAATTTTCATATAGATTTTAACATGAAATGACTAAATTTTAAAGATAAAAGTGCTTATGTTTCAAAGAAAACATATCCTATGCAATAGTATGGACTAATTAATTCAAGAAAGACATGTTGAGGTATTGGTTTGTGCTCGAGTAGGGCCAACGCCCAACTAAGTGAAATATGAATTATACTTAATCCCTTATTCATATAATTAAAACAGCTGGTTTTGAACTGTAATTATTAATTAAGAGATAATTAATAGGAGATTAGCATGGTTGTTATCTTGATAAGAGAAGTGATAATGCTATGAATATGATAAGCTTTAGACATTGGTTGCTAATAGATATCAAACACCAATCAATGGTAGGCAACAAAAGATGGCCAATGAGGAACATCAAATTATTTAAAGTCTAGTGAAGGTTGGTGGTCGATTTGGTTATTTCTTGTAGGGTGCAAAAAAAGCTCTTCATTTATGAATAGCTTGTGTTCTAATTATTATGCAACATGTGTTTATTTGGCTTAATACTAGTTTCACATACACACATA